CAGAAAATCAAGTAAAGTGCTTGACGAGATAGAAAAAAAAAAATATTCACAAAATTTGAGTTATTTTTTAAGGCAATTATTATTAGTTGCGGTACAATCTCCTAAGAATTTGAGCAGATCCCATCATAATAGCATAAAATACCACACAAACTGAAATAAGTGCTTGTGAAGGGTATTATAGCATCGGTTCAACCGAGGTGAATGTTTATTTCTTTTTTAATATAAATAAATGTATATCCTCTATATACTATACATATATCACGTACGTTATACTATATATACTTATATTGTGACAGGCATTTGCTTGGACTTAATTGTGTCCAATTAGGAAATTAATATCATTTCAACTATTGGAAGAACGCTCTACTTTACACGTGCCAAAATTTTTAAACTCTGCTAAACAGAAGTCAGTTGTTGTTGTTGCAAAACTGAACGCTATCAGCTGGTGCGTAGGCTTTGCAATGTATCACGTGAGCGGCGTACCTAAATCATAAGCACAGACATATATCATGGCATGCTCCATTTGTCAAGCAAAGGTAAAAAGTTAAACAGTGTTAAATGTCCAAAAAACCAAGTGCAATAACAACAAGCATAAACATGCTATTTGCAAATGGTAAGGAGAGGTGTTTTGCATAAAAATTGTATTGGCGCATGCGCGATTACCAGCGAGCAAAGCCGCTGCCATCCTCAACACGACAGATGGCCGTGAATATTAGCGTCAACACACACATAGACACGTATGTGGATAGCCAAGTACGTGATCTGCTTTGATTACCATTGCATTTTTGGCTTTATGCTCTTCACTTGAGCGCTGGAATTTTGGCAATTTACCTTTGGAATTAGCTAAATGCAAAAAATTGTGGGGAATTCGAGTGGCGAAATGACTTGTGAATATGCAACTAGCATTTGCTCATGCTATAAAAAATCAGAAGGAATTTTTGAAATCACTTTTTATTTATTTATTTATGTATAATATTTATCGGTTCATTTGCCAAAAATGAGCAATATCTCGTGCGGCGCCTATAAAAGCCCAACCAAGGCAACCAACTCCACATAATCGTCTACAGTCGCACTGTAAGCGCACAAAGAATTTCAGTCTTTGAAAAAAACCACTAAAAAAACACTTAACGAAATGTTCAAATTGGTAAGTAATAAGACAAAGTGCATTACTGACCAGTTTCGTTAATAAAATTAATATTACTTTTTCGTTCCAGTTCGCTCTCTGCTTCGTAGCCCTCTTCGCTTGTGCCTTCGGTGCCGCCAAACCAGCGCTCCTGGCTTCTCCATTGGCTTACTCAGCTCCTCTGGCCGCTGCTCCTGTTGCTGCTGCCTACGCCGCGCCTGTAGCCGCTGCGTACTCCGCTCCTCTCGCCTACGCCGCAGGTTATGCGCCCTACATCGCTCCCTACGCTAGCAGCTACACAGCTCATGGCGTCGCACACAGTGCTGCCTTCCCTGCTGCCTATGCTGCTGCTCCATATGTTGCCTCATATGCCGCTCCAGCCGTAGTTCCCGCCGCACGCTTCGTCGCCCCAGCTGCTCCAGTAGTTGCCGCTGCTCCCGCACCCGTCGTTGCTGCTGCTCCCGCAGTTGCCGCAGCCCCAGCAATCGCTGCTGTTCCAGTTGTGAAGAAATAAGTCTTTAGTTAGAGATTGGACGATAGAATTTGATTCGATGAGGATAAAGCAAAAATAAAAATAAAAATTTAACGAACTGATTTAATTTCTTATTCGAATTTCAAAGGTATAAGAGTTGGGTTTTAGGTAAGGTTCGCTTTTAAAAGATGGTGTAGAAATCAAGACGCACCTATGTATATGTGAAGAAAATCTCCTTCATCTGGATATAAATCAATATAATAAACCTTATCTCCTTAGAAATTTGTTGGTTTTTAGAAAGAATGTCTTTTTGGTAATGTCAAATCAATAAGAATAGCCGGAACCGCAGATTATAGTTTACAATTATGTCAAAACCTTCGTCCAGGTTCTCTTGAGGTTCGTTCATTAATTTATATTTGCAGTGTCCCCAGACCAGATATTCCTTCGGACTGCAACAGTTATTTCAACGAATAATTTTTTATTGGCTTCAACTGTTTATTTTTCAAAAATTTTAACTAATTCTATACCTCTCGAAAAGACCTGAGTCAGTTAGAAAATTTTACGTCTGCACAACAGATTTGACTGATTAATGGATTGTCTTTAATCGTCAAGCGAAACCTGACTTCTGTGGTAGATGAGATGAATTGAATACGAACTTAACTCCTTTTATCATTGTTCTAATACAAGTATATATAATATCTGATAAAAGTTGGTCCAGATGAGACTACATTTTCATATATTTTAATACAAATCACATTCAAAATAGAGTCCTGAGTCAACACAAGCATACCAAAGCTTAGATAGTGATGGCCTTCAGTGCCTTCAGCGAGTTTTGGTTTTTTCCAATTCAATACAGCACCAGTCGCTAGATTTTTGAACAGCTTCGATGCCATATTCATAAGCACACCCCTTGTTAACACTAATGATGCGATTTAAGAATGTAGGGTCTTCAGCTACATTGTCAAATATCTTTTTTGAGATTCTCTATTCTACTCAACGTTGTTTTTGCAAATTGTTCAGGTATTTTGGTACGAGTCTATCATTGGCACGCTTCATACCTGAAACGTTAACCAAAATTAGTTACACTGGAGATATTAACCCTCTAACAGGCAAGACCGCGCTGAGGCGGCCTTTAATAAATTGTCACAAATTCCTAAGAAAATTTGGTGTTGTCTGCAACTGTTATAAAAACCGTTAGATAATACATCAACTCATATTTTATTAGAATCAACAAATGTATTATGACGTTTCGTTTTGTTGTTATTGTTAGTTGAATGCAGAAATTCAGTGTTATAGGTCAATTAATTACAGCTCCGATTTCAAAATTTTAAAAATTTAAATAAAAAGTGTTTTATCGAAATATTCATACGGAGGAATTTTTTTTTTTATTAAGTAAGTTAATTTATTTTAAGATAATATACTTTCTAATAAAAAATAAAAAGCAGTTCAAGTTTTAAGAACACAAACACGAAGACCGCCTGAGGGCGGCCTTGCCTGTTTACGCGAAATTTTTTATAGATATTTCTTTGATTGCTAGTATTTTTATATTTTTATTTTTTTTTAAGACATGGAGCGCAGAAATGGCAGGAAATTTAACTTAAGTAAACTTAGTGATGAAGAGTTTCTCCAGTTAATGGAATCAGTTGAAATTGACTCGGTTGATAGTGATTTTAACAGTGACGATGAATTGGACGACCGCGATTATATGCCTAATGAAATCTCTCCGGAAGATGAGCACGCTATTTCGGCGTGTATTCGGGAAATGAATGAAGCAACTGATTCATTTATACAAATCACCGATATGTCCTTGAATATAAGTTGAATTGATGATATACCTGTAGGATCATCAACGCTTACTGAAATACCTGAAGCATCTTCTTCTACCGCAGCAAGGTCATTGGCAGCAATACATTTCAAAACAAAAAAAGACCGCCATCTCCATTACCAATCTAGGAAACTACTGTTCCCTTAGTTGTTCCCCCTTCTTGTGGTTTTACAGGTTCAGGTATATGTTTTTCATTCAAAGTTTGCACTTGATTTCCTCAGTCGACAACAAATGTTTTATAGGTATTGAAAATATCTCGAAAAGTGCAAATGATTTTTTAAATATTATTTGGCGAATCAAAAATATACGTTTGCATGTGAATGAAGTGGCCTTCAGTGGCAGCTCATGCTTACCACCCCAAATCAGAAAGCTTGACACACCGATGGAAATGTTCTGCTACTTTTTTACAAAAAACTAGTTTTATTGATTGTGGAAGAAACAAATCGAGCAGCTTATTATGAAAACGTCAACAGCCAGTTAAAGATCGACGCTGAAGGAATTTTTAAATACATTGGCGTACTCATTTATATGTTCGTTTACCGTTATCCGAATTTGAAGAGTTATTGGGGTAAAAATGCTTTCACTCCAATTCAAGAATCAATGACTGTAAAACAGTTTTTGGCGATAAAAAGTTTAGAGATGAAAGCGAGAGGATTGAAAAAGGTAAACCAGGATATGATCCCTTGTTTCGTATCCGAAAATTGTTGGATGAACTCAACAACCGGTTCGATTCTGGTCCAAAGCCTGCTCGCTTTGCGTCGATGAGCAAATGTGTAGCACAAAATTAAAACATCATCTTCGGCAATACTCGTATATGCCAAATAAGCCACACAAGAGGGTACTAAAATTGTTCGTCTTGTGTTACTTCACTGGATTTGCCTATCGCTGCGAAATCTATAACGATAACATCATTTTACCAGGTCAGCCGTATCTTGGAAGTACTGCAAATGCAGTTGTACGACTATCACAAACAATACCTGATTTTGCTCACCACATTCTCTACTTCGACAATTTCTATACATCGTTACCTTTGTTGGTATATTTACGCCCAAGGGGCATCTACAGCTTGGGCACGATACGAGCGAACCGAATACCAAAATGCAAACATCCCTTGGATAAGGATGTAAAGAGCGAAGAAAGAGGATACTCAATTGATTACGTTGGGGCTGAATATGGTGTCGATATTAACACGGTTTTGTGGAAAGACAACAAGACAGTGCGATTGGCATCAACTTACGTTGGTATTCAGCCATTCAGCGATAGAAAACAAAAGCAGCATATAGAAGTAGATTGCCCCCAAATTATACGGGAATATAATAGCCATATGGAGGGAGTAGACTTAATGGATGGACTTATGGGTCGTTATCATACCTTTTTTACGATTTCGTAGATATAGCTGTGACAAATTCATATATTTTGTATCGACGTCTGCATTAGAAAATTGCAATAACAATCTATCTACACAAGATGACAAGCTGTTAAAGTTACCCGAGTTCCGTGAAGAAATTGCTGCTGGTCTTGTAGCTTACAAACTCAATCGTCCCCGCTGGTCGGCCAAGTTTCACACCATCAACACCCGCCGGAAAGAAATTTAACGAAGGGAAAAGAGCAGAACATCCAGTCGCGGATATCCGTTTTGATCAGTATGATCAATTTCCCACTTGGCTTCGTAAAGATGGTGGAAAAAGAAAATGTAAATTGTGAGGCGGGCTTCAGACTATTCTCACCTGCGAGCACAAAAAAATTAAAACAAATCATATGATGATATTTTTGAGGTTTATGGAGCCTATTTATCCGAGAAAAAAATTCCCAATCTTTTCTGCCCTCGATTTTAGTTTTGCCTGTTAGAGGGTTAAGATTCTTTGCTATCTCTCCAATGCCAACAATTTTTTTTTCTTTTTGAAAACCATCTTCCTTATTACGACTTTATATACACATAAAGGTTGGCGAGGGAACTATATCTATAAAAGTGTAATGTAGTTAGACTTCGTATAGTGTGATAAAATAATAATATGAAATATATTGTTTCTGCTAGTCAGGTCATCAGGACGATGTTGATTGAAAATTTGGCAGAAAAACCAACGAAGGATCCATGTAGCATGTGATGTTGCATTATTATTACACAAAACCCAATAATTGTCGGCCCATAACTCCCGCCTCATCTTTGCCACGATATTCGGCCGGTTGATGATCTGTTTCTGGGTAGTAAGCAAAGATCCAAGACTCATCGACTGTAATATTAAGTTTCATGACACGCTAAGAGTCGGCGAACATTGTTTAACTTACGTTAACGCGACGTTGTTTCTCGAAAAAAATTGGTGATTTGATTCGCTTTTCTTAGGCCTACATGTTCTTTCAAAATTGTTTTCACTGAACCTTCCTATATTCCAACGATGCCAGTAAGATCCATGACTGTTAATCGTCGATTCTCAAGCCTTATCAATTCGTTTATTTTATTGATGTGTTGATCATCAGTTGATGTTGAGGGCCGTTCCGGACGTGGTTCCTCGTCAACGCGTTCTTGACCCACTTTGTACAAAAAGACTTTCTCCCGACAAACAATTATCAGCGAAAGCCTCTTCCAATATTCTGCCGAAACATTGGCATCAGAAATTTGATTTCGCGTCCAAAATTTAACGCAATTTCTTTGTTGAATAATTTCACTTATCGTAAAGAACGACGAATATACTTTATACTTTATGTACCTCAGAAAGGCAAGTGTTTACTAAACACTAATGATTATTCTGATGTGACATCCGACACAGATGTTATTGACAGTCGTACCAACTTAAGCAAAGAATATTTTGACGGATGGGTTTCCACGCGAAATTTAAATTAAGGAATCTTACTATTTTTTGTCCACAGTTATATGTATATAAATGATGAGGATGACAAGGCAAGCTAAATCTAGAGTGACTGTCCATAAAAAAAGACCCACCAATGAAATATGTTACTTCGTAGATGTATTCGAATACGAGTACAAAAACCATACTTTTATTTAATACTTGAACATGAAGAAAGCAGTCCCCTTATTATATATTATATCGCAATAAATGCTGACTCTAATATAACTGTGAGACTGCATAACTACCAATAGCAATAAGAATTTAGTAAAGCACGCTTTTTAATTGTGACAATTTATTTATTTTAATATGTTGTTAAAATTTTGTTAAAATTTTTTTCCTGCATATTATTTTATATAATAACATAGAAAAGAAGTGTAAGTGAAAAGTAAAAAACGATAAGATTTAAAGGTGGAAATGAAAGTGTTAGCTAAAACTCTTCTCTATATAGCGTAAAATCGAGTATAGAATAATTAGAGTTAAAAATTCAACAAAATAACATAACATATATGGTATGAATGTATGTAGGCAAATAAGTCAGTAAACAATTTTCATATCAGTAAACGTTTGATTCGTCAATTATTGTGCTGTCGAGAAGTGGCTTAACGCACGAAAGCGGTGGCGTAAGGATAGCTGTATGCAGCATAGGGATAGGAGTAAGCGGAGGCGTAGGGCGAAGTGTAGGCGGCCGTGTACGCAGCGGTGTAGGGGGAAGCGGCCACTACTGGAGCCGAATAAGCGGCAGTGTAGGCCACTGGTGCGGCAATAACCGCTGGCTTGGCAGCAACGCAAGCGATCAGGGCGAACAAGCAAATGGCGAGCTGTAAGAGGGAAAAGTAGCAAATATTTTTGTTGACATGGAAAATTTAATAATATTATTTTAAATTTAATTTACTACAAATTATCCTCAACACTTACGAATTTCAACATTGTGTTATATTTAGTTATTTTTTGTGCTATGGGTTAACTACTTCAAGTTGTTCTAGTGCAACTGATGACACCACCAACGAATTCTACGTATTTTATACTCGAAAATTCTCAATATAATTCCATTTTGAAACCCTTTGTAAGCAATTGCGGCCTACTGACATTTCTCACTGCCACTTTTGTGGAACTAGCCATTACAGCACTTAAAAATTCATAGCGAGTCCTCATAGTATAAATAATACTAAAAAATTAAAAATATATATTTTCATACATGTATATAAGTATGTATCGAGCACAGCTGACTGTTTACTTGAATTTGTGCCAATTCTGTCACAAACGCCTAGTATAACACGCCAATGCCGGGCCAACGCCCAGAGTTTTGAGCTGGAGCCAATATTTAGTATGCTCAAGGAAATCGCTTTGGAATAATTACGAACGCACCGAGTTTTATGGTATTTACAAAAGTGTAACAAAAAACTTATTTAAGCATTGTAACATCATCACTTTTGTTTTCACTCTGAAAATGCTGTGAACTCTATGTAGATCAGTGCATTTTTCCTATGTGTCACTGAATCAATCAGTCAATCGGTCACTTACCAGTTAGCATACTCAGCACACGTACGAGCCTTCCCTATGCGTTATAAAAAGGCTATTGAGTAATCGCCGCGATTGACGTTGTGCATACCTAATTAACGAATCGTGTCTATTATGAAAATATTCATTCGTTCTAGACAATAAAGCTTCATCAGTAACAAATATCTACATTACCTAGTTGAATAGCTACGCAACCAAGCTGTCAAATGTTCTATGACAGACCCAACACATATTGCCTGGAATGGGGCACAAGCGAACTTATTAAAAGCATATGGGGATTTTAGAATAGAAACTTTCGAACTCGGATTTGAAACAGGTATAAAGTGATAGAGCATATATGCTATAATGGTCCGATATCGGCGGTTATGACAAAATTTCAATTTGATATCTCAAAAACTGAGAGTCTGGATCGAGTATAGACCTACCGACAGACAGACAGAAATGGTTAAATTAAATTAGGTCGCCATATTGATCATTTGAATACATGTATGTACATATATTTCATAAGGCCTTCGATGTTTCCTTCTGGGCGTTACCAACTTCCCTATGCAGAGTACAATAAAGGTTCTTTCAATTCAATAAAAAAAAAATGTGTCAGGCTTACTCTATAGCATATTAAACTCCTTATAAACACCCAGAACTGGAACTTTGTATATGCGTCCCGTCCTCTGCCCCAATACCGTTTGCCAGTTTCACTATACCTCATCTTCTGCTGCTCTTACCCGTGATCAGATGAGCATTTATATGATTTCCAAGATGATTCGAACGAATATCATGGCAAAAGTGAGTCGTAGCCGAAAAAATACGTCAAATCAGGTCAAAAATCTAAATTATTATTAATTAATTATAAATTAACTATTTTTTCGGTTATTGAGATGTGGTGCTCGCCAAATTTCTTCTGACCATCCAAACTGTCAAAAGGGAGTACAATTAGAGTGCTTTGCGTGAAGCTATTCGTAAAGTTCTTATAAGACAATTTTATCATCTAAACAACATGTAGGTGACGAAGTTCAAGGGTACAGCAAATGGTTGATTTATTTTTGTTTGTAGACGAAATATTCCTCGTAAAAGTGAAATATTAGTGTAACAATGTACTGAAAACTATTTACATATTCATTTTAAATGAATGCGGAGCGCAACTTCAAAGAACCTTAAAACCAGCCTCGAATGGGTTAAATAAAAAGAAAAGTAGTAAATCATAAACGCAAAATCAGAGGAACACGCACGGAATGTTGATTTGAGAAAACAGAGCCAAGTAGTAATAAGCGTAAGTATGTATGCATAATTTCCACTGATTACATACGAACATTCATACCCACCCACATATATATGTATATATATATATACATATGTACATTTATATAGGTAAGTTGAGCGTATGGTTTGAGTATCAATATGAGTATTACGTATAAATTCTAAAAGCCGATATCAAATCACATATGCACAGACATACATACAAGTACATATGTGCGTTTGTATGATTGCTTACAAAACACATTTATTTATGTTGTTTTGTTTCGTATAATTTCATTTTGTTTTGATTGAATGCTGGCGCATTTATTGGCTKGGCTTGGCTTGGCTGGCAAAAGGTTTTCTCATTGACTACATTCGCATTGAATTCCAGTCGCACGGAAAGCGCAGAGTGAACAAAACCATATAAAAAATGCTTAATTTTGCAAGCTTTTTACATTTACAAAATCGTCACGGACAGCATACGAAAATCGACGATACCAACTATAAATACCAAACTCATCATAATCACAACAACAAAACGCATAAGAACATAAAGAAGTTGCTGCATAAAACCAGTGAAGAGCAGCCGACACCTGTAAGCTATCTGAAATTCGACAATGTCGAGCACCATGCGACAGCTGATAGTCCTGCTGATGCCGCTCCTGCTGCTGCTGCAGCGTGGTGTTGCAGCCAGTCCGGCGCCGGGGAATTTCGCCGATGCAGCGGAGACGATCGATGTGCCGCCGGAACACCGTGCGCCGCCACCCGGTGCTGCCACTGCTGTTCCGCCCAGTGCGCCAGTGCCAGGCTTTGGCGTGCGCCCTCCCTTCCTGGCTGCTGCTGCGCCACAGCCGCGCGGCGCTTTCCCTTCTGTCGTCTTTCGACCGGCATTTGCCCCATTCGCCAGCAGCTTCAATGGGCTCATGGTGCAGCACTTCGCCGCGTACCCGCGCCCGATTGCGCCGACTGCCGCTTAGCCGTTTACCAACAAGAGAATTCAGACAGCTGCCCACCGTGTTGCACCGCAGCGTCAGCCACCGGTTGCATTAAAGCAACATGCAACAATAACTGCTACGAATGTTGCTCCCCAGAGGCGCTGCCTGCTGTGCTCACAAACCAACTTCCTACTACAACTACATCTAAATTATCATCTATCAAACCATGGTCGCTAGCACCATTCCAAATGAAATTAAAACTGCTGACCGGTACCGCCACGAATTGTTGTTAATCAAGCAACGTGCAGCGATCTTGCTTCTCCACTAAATTACATCTGTTAAATTAAATTTAAAAGTGAAATAAAATTAATCGTATTTTTGTTGTTGCCAAGTGATTGCGTACTCAATTGTGTGTTGTCGTGCAAATAATTTTTCCTGTGTATTTTAATTTAAAAATTCGTTTCGCAAATTTAATAGCCTCACTCTATTCACTTCTGGGCTAACTGCAGAGCCATGTGTGTATATATAGTAGGTTTGTCATATCACTTGCGTATATAGTAAGGTATCGAATGTGATATGTTGTGTCTGTGTCTCTACAATTTTGTTTTGCTGCGTCAGCGTAATTTTAAATATATTTTTATCTGCCTACTGGATTTTCCAGAAGCCATTTCGATTTCATGATTAAAATTTTTGCAAAGTTCGCAAACAACGCTTGCATATTGGGAATGTATTCGCATTCTAGACACACACGCGCCATTCACCTGAAACGTATTTTGATTCACAATTGACGGTTGCTGTTCTCCAACGTTTTTCCGGGTCGGAATGTGGTTAATTTTTAAACACATATACAAACATGTATGTTAATTTACAAATAAGGACTTGTTTATGTTATTAAATTGATTTGGCATACCTGCACTTTGATGTTGCCACCTTATAGGAACGCTCTTTAAGCTTTCTTTAATAAACGTGGATTCACATTTACACTCCAGAGTTCAAGGAATAATGGAAGTAGTGAACTTTTCCCACTTATAGTAAGGTGCTCCGAAGAAGTGGAAGACTATGTCAAATAGATTTTTTTCTAGTAGGCGGGCATCAAAAGCCGGACTGCTGAACTTTAATCCGCTAAACCTTACTTACTCCCAACTCATGTCTCTCTCACGGAACCACCGGATTAGGTATTACTTTATAGCAGAGAGAAATACATATCCTATTGTACGTACTAACAGACTTCTGGTCTGTTGTAACTTGCTTAGTTTCGTCATAATTAGAGCTAACGCTTCGCAGACAGCTTTCCCTTTAGCAGAGGACTGTCTGTTGTCAAATTTTCCTCCGTTACTTTAGCGGCGAGTGTAGATTTTGGCTTTTTCGTTATATTTAAAAAACGGAGGCAATGAAAAAATACGTATTCCGAGTCTTCTATGCACTCTATACATGTTGGCGAATTAACGTCGTAACTAATTTGGAACAAATACTTTCTAAAGCATACATGGCCACTCAGTATTTGGGTTGGGTGGAAATTTAGGTACACATGTCTCTATCGACGCATGAATGTCTGCGATCATCTTTGGATGAGCTTTGCTACTGCTACTGCCACATTGTAAGCCACTTAGTTCTCCACTTTTTCCGACTTGTAATCGGCTGTGAGAGCTGGTATAGTCGAGCGTATTCGTCCCCCTGGATGCCAATAGGCGGTATGCTGGCTCGTACTTCAGCAGCATCGCTTGATATGTAAATCAAATAGGTAATGTATTATTAATGTATGGTGGTTGTTTTATATCCATGGTTTTTTCAAAAAACACAAAGTTCAAGGAAAGATAGGGGAAGATAGGGCGACCAGAAATCTAGTATCGCTTGCAGTGATTAAAATGATCAGCATTTCGAGAAGACAGGTACCTCAGGTATCCCGGAAACTTCCATAAAGAAAGATTGCATGTACAATCCAGGATCTAAAATATTTCCAAAACTTTTACATTTCCTTCTGTAAAACTGTTAAAAGCTTCATCTGCAAGATGACCCGTTCAAGTTCTCTAACGAAATGCTAAAGATATTCACCGCTTATATATATGTTTATGAGTGAAGGTACACATCAATCTTATTCTCCAACATTTATCTTATTGGCGTTAAGCTAATCCTAAGTTTATGTATTCAATGCTCAGCGTTTTCCAAAAGGAGTTCTTTATAATGTGAGTTACAATTGGTGAATAATTTTATAAAAAAAAAAAAACTATTATAATTAATATAGAGCTGAGGAGTCTAAATGATTTTAAACACAAGTCCAAGTTCCAAAAGAACCACAACAGTATTTAACATAACATTTAAGATCTAGGTTGCAGAGTAATAAAATATTTTCAAAAACAGACAATACATAACTAAGGTATAGCTCTAATGTGAACGAGCGAAGTTTCTAGCGGAGAGTAATCTCTCCAGAATCAACTTTGAAATCACGGATAAACATATTTATTGCCAACTGATGAATTAGGGCATGTATATTTTGTAAACTTGTAAATTTTTAGCAATTTCGGCCTTAGACATTTTCATAGTCTCAATAGTTTTCCAGGTGGAGAAGCGGAATACTTGCCATCTTTTTACCAATAACTATGCTGCTATCGTACACGTTACAATGTCTGGAAACGATGTATTATGTAATGTGGACTTAAAGTGGAACTTTTTGTATCCTGCTATCTCATAACCTTTAAACAGAGTGATACCAGCTCCACCAGTTAATATTCAGATCATGTTGCTACAGTCTCTTTTATGTATGCTATTAGGAATTTTATGTACATCCGATCTACCGTTTTGCACATGACTTTTGCACCTGCACGTTAGTTCGTTCCATCGTGTTTTGATTTTATTCACCATGCTTCTATACACATATTCACCATGCTTCTATACAGATCGTCGCATAGACATATGCGATTCGAAATTACTGCCTTGATTGCTGCTTGGATGAATGTATGGTAGATGTTGATTCTAGAATTGCTTACAGGTTCATTAAAGGCCAGCTCCGCGGCTTGGCAAGGCAATAGCACAGACTTTCTCTGCTTGAAATATACTGCATCGGTTTGGCAACTTAAAGGGCTGCCTTATGTTAAACACCGGACGGGATATTTCCACGGTGTTTAGAGTGTTGTGCGTAGCTTACATAAATATCTTTACGTCAACCATCTTTTTCAACGTTAACTTTGAAATTTCTTTGCTATTTGAAAAGTGGGATCATGAAGTGGATGCTTGCCAAATCGCCATTACCCACCCAGCTATGACCGAGGGTTCCATGTATAAATTCTTCTACAGCCAGTAGCCGATTTTTCTGTTATATACACAGCGTAGCAGTCCTCCAAACACTACATACATACTGCTGTACCGTATAACAGAACTGATCTTACAATAGCAGTGTAGTCCCAGTGAATGAAAGAGAGAGAGAGTCTAAAATGTAAATATGAGCTAACAAATCCGTATTTATGCTTTGGAATAGAGTTGACACAAATGAATTTTTATTTTCTACTTATTATTAATTACTAAATCGTGAAAATATATTACCAAAATAATGGGTTGGACATAATCGCTTAGCAGAGTTGATTTTTACGAGCAACCATGGATCGGTTTCGCAACAGGCTTCTCTAATGGATGCTGCGCATTCTGAGTGACACCGTACAGTGCGCACTGAAGACGCTATTGATACGAATATCGACTTTCTGGAGTATTTTGCGAAAGAGTCTTTGTTCGTGCACTTACCAAAAAATACTCGTGCAAGAAATAAGCCGAACAGCCATCAACCAAGTCGCACGTTGGGCAAAGGGGCTCAATTTCGATTTACAACGATCCCGATTTTCACAAGATTTTCATATTCATAATTTTGTTCAGCTGAAGCTCACTTTTGGTTGAATGCCGATGGTAATAAACAAATTTGTAATTATGATAATCCACAAACCATTATAGAGATCCTCAAAATATTCACAGCTTGGTGTGCTCTATGGGCAAAGAAAATCATTCTTCACTGGGTAATTTTTGTTGATTTGGGCGAAACAAAAAATGTATTTTGGAGCGTCGGCCTCCAAGATCGTGCAGTTTAAGGGACATTTGCCCGAAATCATTTTAAAACATAATGTTAAATTATTATAAGAAAGATACATTCTTCTGCATAACTTTAAATTTTTAAGACTTTTATATAGAAAGTTTTTGAATGGCATATCAGAGTCACCTAACCATTTTAGTTTTAACTTTCAAAGCGTAATTAGAACAGATAAAGTAAACAAAAATATTTTAGTCAACAATGTTGGAGGATTTATATTATTCCGTTTATATAACCTATTAACAATATATGTACAATGCAGGTATGCCGTAAAAAAACTGGTTACAAATCTCTAAAATTATCACAAACTATATAATTTGTCTGTTAGACGAATTTTTTCCTTAGCAAGAGTCCAATTTAGTTGCCTTATTCCATTTTGTCCATTTATGATTTGCCCTGAGTAGTATTATGGATTTACTTTTCACATTCGATCCAACATTTAGTAAGCCACGGAGTAAGCGGCGTTGTAAGGGTAGTAAGAGGCGTAAGAAGCGACTGGTGCACTGTAAGCGCTGTAAGCAGCGGCAACGGGAGCACTGTAGGCAGCAGCAACTGGGGCGCTATATGCGGCGGCCACGGGTGCAGCAGCTACGGCGGGTGCGGTGTAGGCGGCGGCGACGACGGGGGCAGCAGCAACACCATTGTAATTGCGTGCAATGTATTGCGAGCTCTGAGCGGTAACCACAGCTGGAGCGCTGTAGGCGACTACGGCGGGCTTAGCTGAAGCGCTGGCGACCAAAGCGAGAACGGCGAAAAGAACACACTGTAAGCGAGTAATGTAAGAGAATGTTACAAGATTATATTATTTTTTTAATGTGCACTATTTAAAATATTTACCGATTTGAACATTTTGATTGTTGTTTGTTTTGCTGTGAAGTTGCTAACTAGCGAAGTGCTGAAGTTGTACTACGATTCTATAAAAAAATCTAGCCAGCTTTTATACCAGACCAAGCATATTTTAGCAGCAACTCAAAGCCTGCCAGTAAATGCCATGAGCATTATCCATCTGCCCGCCAAAATATTTAAATTGAATGATTTGTTTTATTTCATATTTTTTGTTTTCAATATTTATGTGTATGTAGATCTGGTAACATCACGCACACAATCGTAAATGTGTTTAGTACACTTTTAATTCCAATTGCCTTAATGAGCATTTTGCGGGCAACGTCACTGGTTTATTTTGCATTTCTACTTGTCGCGCGCTTTGCGAATCATTTCAGTCGACCTTCCACTGCATGTCCCACCTACCGTTGTTCTACAAAACACAGCTCTGATCCACTAAGCCCGTTTGTTTGCCAAAAATTGCTATGCATACATACGGACGAAATAAGAGTTGCCATTTTGCCCTGCGCCCGATGTGGGCCGAAGTATGGATTGAGCGCCAGTCAAGGCTCAGCGGTGTGTTTAGCCGGCGTACGTGTTTGCAAATACTAATTGTCGGTCAACTATATGAGTACCGAACAGATTGATAGCACTACTAACTGATTTATAACAAAAACGAAGGGGTGTGAGTAGGTGGAGGGCGTGATGTATGTGGCTGCTACCGTTCATTGCTCGCTGTTGCCGTCTCAAAGTCAAATATTTCCAGCTGGTGGCGAATATTATTGCAAACACGTACTGAAAGTATAGCAAAAGCAAGAATAATTTCGAGGTAAATTCACAGAAATGGTTGCATTGCACATGCACACCATTGAATATCGTTGATCAATCGATTCAAAGGATTATAGCCGCATCGTGTAAAGTGAGATGTACTCAACAAGTTGAAGAACCTGCAACTTACCACACAGAACATATATATATCATATATTATTCACATGATCCACGTTGAGAAATAATTTAAAATAATTTTTTTTTTTAAATATTATTTAGTAACTCGTAAAATTCACTTTCATAATTTTTTTATAACAAGTAAACTGTCCTCACTCGCAACACCAAGTCGCACGAAGCAATCTCATTAACGTAAGCATCCAAGTGGATTTCAAACCTAGGCCTAATTTGGAAAAATTTGGGTTCGATTTTAAACAACGCGTTCAAAAAACAACGTTTGCGTATTTCAAAGTATATAAAAGGTACAAAGTGTATGAAGGGAACAATGTTATAATTACAAAAAAAAATTAATTTTGTTATAGCTGAAGTTTATTCAATACGTGCTCCAAATTAACGCGTTGTCTATTATAGCCTGACAGAGTTGATGATAACTTGATCTCTAATTTCACAATGTGAACATTGAAAGCGTACAAAATACAGCTTGTGCAAAAACAGAAGCCACTCGAACTTTCCAAGTGGCAACGCTTCATTCTATTGGCTTTTGAGAAGTTCCAAGAAGATCCGACGTTTTCGAGCGAAGTCTTGTTTAGCGTTGAAACACATTTCTGGCTCAATGGGTATGTTAGCAAACAAAATAATCGCTTTTGGGATGAGAGCAACTTGAAAGGATTCAACAGCTGCCTTTCATGGAAATAAAACAACGGTTTGTTGTGGTTTGGGGGCGGTGGAATCATCAGTCCATATTTCTTAAAAAATTATGCTAGTGAGTACGTAAGAAGAAGAGTACGTAACCGTCAATGGCGACCGTTATGCCGCCATAATAACCGGCTATTTGACGCCTGAAATTGAAGCTTGTGATCTCGGCGACATTTGGTTTCAACAAGTCGATTTCTATAAGTATAGATGACACTACACGAGTAAAAACTTTTTAAGACTCCCCAAATTTCTGTGTCCTCCAACCTTGATATCCAATGGTTTCAAAAATGCCCACTCATTTGCCTATCTGCAGCTATGAAAGCAGGACCATTGCTGTTAAGCCATTGCTGGGTGATGTTTGTCTTGTTGCTGGACGGTCTAATGATCCTCATCGTAGGGAGTATCACTTTACTGCTTTACCAAACCTTCTGAAACATTTTTTCATTCACTTTTGTCCAGTTTCAACTCCTTTTCCACAAAAGTGAAAATGTGTAATGCTTTTACGTTAGGCTCCCCACAAAATCATTACAGCAGCTGGATGTTAAACATGATGAATTTTTGCTTCTTTTGAAGTTTTTCCGCGATTTTGTGACTTTGCTTCTTAAAAAATCATCAACAGTGAACATTTTTTCATCATTTTAAAGGATACTTTCATGGCCGTTGAACACATGTCACGGAAGAAGCCGCTTACATATGTAGAGCTTAATTCTCTTTAAGCGAAATGTCAGAAGATGATCGGTCTATCAGTGGTAAGCTTTTATGAGCAGATCATCTTGAATAAGTATTTGCATTGATCTGGTCGACATACTTGTATGAGAATTTATGCGAATGCATTCGCCAATTTGTATGGCTAACTTGGTTTGAACTTCGCAAGGAAAACCACTTCTCTTTCTGTCCTAAACTGTAGACATTTTCGAAAACCGATGAATAGTGTGTAAACAACCACTCTTTAAACTCTTAAGCAAAGTGATCCCCGCAATGCGATTTTCTTTAGCTCCCCAACTTTGTTACGTATAATAAGCGAAAGCAAGCAATAAACTGATTATGTAAGCATTGTAAATTTCGCAATAGAACTTATCGCAAGACGAAGTATACTAATATGAAAAAATTAGTAAGATTTCGTAATAATTTTAAGAATTTTTAATTTATGTTCTTATAATTCACATCGTCTCCTTTTATGTTTCTTTTTTTTTTTTTTTGTTTTGTTTTTTTATTTTTTTGCGTCTGCTCATCACTGCCACGATATTCGGCCGATTGATCATTTACGGGTCTTTAGCATAGTGCCAAGACTCATGGCCAGTAGCAATACGTTCATGACATCCTGGTAGTCGGAACGCATTGTTTCACAGGCGTTGTTTTTTGAAAAAATTGAGTGATGTTGGAACCAATTGTGCTTTCACTTTTCTCAGGATAAAATGATCTTTCAAAGTTTTACTGATTCTTACAACTTCACAACGATGCCAGTAAGATCTCAGACAGTGAATCCTCGATTCTCAAGCACCAATTCCTTTATTTTATTGCCGCGTTGACCATCAGCTGATTATGATGGCCGCCCACGACCCTCTTTGAATAATTTTTACCAATCATGAACACTTGGTCGCTTGTAAACAATCATCACCGAAGTCCTGTTCCAACATTCTGCACGTTTAGGCTCCAGAAATTTCATTCCGCTCACAAAATTTAAAAGAACTTCTTTATTGAATAATTTCACTTATCATAAAAATCGTCGAGTGCACTTTATGTATGTACATACATAATCTCACATTTAGGTAGTATAAAAGTAATTTTGGAGAATCAATCAATTTTCAGTTTTCTTTATGCGATACTCGGATAAGTCTCTCAGAGTTAATGTGGTATGATTTATGCGTTTAAGTTAAAGAAAACTAAGGCTTTGTTTAGCCAATATTCTAAAGTAATCTAACAAGATTAACCTAATATTCAGAAGCTTGAACTTGAACACAAAAGCGATTTTATTCGGTGATCTTCCTCCGGAGTGCATATCTAACACAAAAACCTTCCAATAAAATTCTTAATTTTTTTTATATATTTTCATTCCTTCTTTAAGGCGCTTGCTAGACCCGTGCAAATATTGCGCAATATAATAACAATCCATCTAATTGAGTAGCACATGCTAACAGAAAATGAAATGCTGAAACAAAACCACTTTTATTAAGTACATCGAATGATTTTCACATTTTTTAATATTTTTTGTATTATCTTTTATTTTTTATTTGAACTGCGGCACATCATTGTAACACACTTTCTATTTATAAAGTTTTCTTATCTTAAGTTCTTAGTTTTATTCACAATATTTGTGGAGAGTATTGTTTACATAATCACTTGAAGTTCTCTTTGGTATTCTTTCCGCAGCATTCGCCACATCACTCATTCGGCACAATGCTCTATATTTGAATTGACCGTTGCACTAGAATGAAAAACAATACTCGCTCCCCGTCTTGAGAAGTACTCGCGTCGCTTGATTTTCCACGCATAAACCACCACAACGCCGACCAAAAGCACGATCATCGCCAGCAAAGCGATCTTCATCAGCAACAAATACAACTCCAGACGTTTCTCGTGCAGACGCAATGTATTCATCGATTGTTGCAGCACTGTTTGTAACGTGTTCATATCGTTCAACTCATGTTCGACCTCTTGTAGCGCGGCCTTATCCACACCCTTCGAAGTGCTGACGCAGGAGACATCGCGTATGTGTGAACGCTCGGCTGCATTTTCCTCTGGCTCGATGTGCAGCATCACCGAAGTGGAGAGTTGCGGCGGCACCAGCAGTGTATGCAAGTAGGTACAGTTGAACTGGTTGCGCGATACACCGAGTTTGGAGAGATTCGGGAAGACATACGAGAAGCCGCCTTTACCATGTACCTCGGTCAAATTATTGCCATCGATATAAAGATAACGCAGGTTGGACAAATAAGGCACAAACATATCCAAATTCACTTCGGTTAGATTATTATAGGACAAGTCGAGTGTCTCCAAATTCACCTGCTTGGAGAACATGCCAAAAGTGAGTTGACACAAACCGATCGCACGCAATGAGAGCACACGGAGCCGTTTCAACCGATCAAACGTCGTGATATTGACCGGACCAATGGGATTGTTGGCCAAGTCCAGCTGCAGCAGACCGGTGATATTCGTGATATTCTTTATATCGCTCAGATTATTCGAACCAAGTATTAAGGTTTCCAAGAACAGTGTATTGATCATTTGCACTTCGATTATGCGATTGTGATCGGCACGCACATGCTTGGTACCGTTAACGTAAATACGCGTTAAATTATTGTAATCCACCTGTAGCTGTGTCAGTATGCTCTTATTACCCATCTCGAACTCTGTCAAGTTATTGGCGGTCAACAGCAGATTCTCCAAACCATATGCTGACTGAAAGCTATCCGGATGTAAGCGATAGATATTGTTGTAGGACAAGTTGACGTCAACAATGCGTCGCAAACGATTGAACACTTCGGGTTCAATGTACTCCAAGCGATTGTTGTTAATCGCTATTGTCGACAAATACTGATTCTCCAGCAGCAGATCTTTTGGCAACTTGCGTATGGCATTATATGAGAGTTGCAACTTGTCCAAGCTACTTAAGCCTTTGAAGGCGTTCTCATTCAGCACCTCAATACGATTGTGACTAAGATCGAGCCGCATCAAATTGCTGGCACCCATAAAAACGGATGTGGTTATTTGTGTAATGTTGTTGTTGCTCATGTTGAGTATGCTCAAATTGCTCGCTGCGCCGAAAGTGTTGCGTGGCACATCCAAAATCTCCGTAAAAGAAACGTCCAGCGTCTTCAGATAGGCGAAGACATCGAACAATTTGAAGGGTATGTAAAGGAGGCGTGAATCGTAGAATTTCATAAATTTTGTATTGTTCGCTTTGGGATATTTTTGTATTTTAACGATTTGACTGTGCGACACGACAAAGCCGGAGACCGTGCAATAAGCTTCACTTGTGGACATATCGTACATGCGCTCAAATTCATCGCATTTCAATGTGATATCCTCGGTGGCGGCGATACCGTTTAGCACTACTTGCAGGATTAAAATTAATTGTATATTATTTATAAGTCGCGTCATTTTCGCGAACGGAACAAATTCACCAGGCGACTGCTGTAAAGCAACTAAATCCCACTTGTAAGCTGAAGTCAGCTCAGATGAAAGTCTGCAGTGTCTGAAGCGATTAAGGAAGTGGATGCTAGTCTGCTGATATACATTTGCTGTAATATTTGTTTTATTGGCATATGGCATTACATTTATCCAGACTTTGCGCAAAATATAATATATTCACTACAATATAAGCCCATGCATCCTTATCAAGTACTGCCCAGCATTTCGAACGGGAAGATAAGTCGCACATAAAACGCCATACAAATTTTCATATATGGGGTAAACACACACAAACATATGCGGCACAATAATATTTATAACTCAAACATTGCTGTACCAACTTTTAAGATCAATGATTTTTATTAACGTCGCCTCTAGTGACCAATTAATATTTAACCTAGCTTATTTTTGAATAGCTGAAACCTTTTGTTTACTCTTTAAATAGAGTTTTTTCCGGTGCTTCTGAAGGTTTGTACACAGCTGATGCACAGATATTTTAAAATTGTATTATTATTTGAAATCGGAGTAGACATTTGGATGGTACTCACTGCCGAATGAACCTTAATTAATGAGGGATTCTCCTATTTGTACAATAGCAATAATTCTGAAAATATCTTCTAACACTCAAGGAAGAGCTAAGTTCGAGTGTAACCAAACACGGATCAAAGTCCGCGAAATATTTAAGTGTACATACTATAGATGTAGGCAAAATTTATATGAAAATAGCTTGGCGGATATATATGATATGAGTTCTGTTTTGACACAAGGGTATCTTATTAATATAACGGGATATTCAATAAGGACGCTACAAAAATATACCCATAGGGATAGCAAACGGCACCGTGTTTTCCCCGCCCTTTTGACAGTTCTCTTCAGTAAGGTTTCCCATTTCAGCATGCCAACAGGAGGTGGGCATCTCTGTGACGTCGTTGTGGAGAATTTTGTGAAAAGATCTTGGCCTACATCCTTACTAAATCAAATTGACATAAGAACTGAAGCCGCTTGACCACCAGAACGTTCGTGAATTAGGTTGAGCAACAACTTGAAAGTGATCCTGTTTTTTCACCGAAAGTTCTCTTCAGGAATGAGGCTCATTTCTGGCTGAATGGCTTCGTAAAATATGAGTTACACTACTTTCTGTGGCACTACGTCAAGCCTATGGTCTATGCCAACAATGCAGCGACGATTGATGAACTTCGTGCGAATATCGGAAGTAAAATTGCAGCGGTATCGGCGGATTTGAAAACCGTCGAAAATTGTGTTCAGCGTCTGGACTTCTGCAAGCGTTTCATACATACAAAATTTCTACTGAATAGTGAAAGAATGAGATGGAAACTAAAAATATGTTATATATGTATATATTAGCATGATTTTTGTCTGATATCGCCCATTTTCACATTGAATTGTAGGGATGGTTAAAATCACATACTGAACTTGGTTGAAAGCGTTTGATTGCGAGATATTGATTTTCACCTAAACGTGGGAGATGACACGACCATTGCCCAAATTTGACACCGATCCACCTGTATCATCTTGAGTATAAAAGTTCTTGTTCCTGGTGCATTTATTTATTTATTTATCGCGCTTTTAGTAGTTTTTAACAAAACTGTTATTTGGCGAGTGAGCAGCTTTAGTGGTTTAGAAGATATGTACAACTCTTATTTTTTTATTTTTTCCCCTAAGGTTCCCTTGCTACTGCGATACCATGTACCAAAGTCATAATAAAGGCCTCAGTTATGGCATTTTATAGACACAACTATTATACTCAGTAGCAACATGTTGCAAGAGTATAAAAGAGATTTTTTTGCAAATACGAAGCGTTTCATGTCTACAAAGCATTAATAACCGCTCATATCACTAATGACGTGCTTTAGAATCGAATGAATGCACAAAGACATACTATATACAAGTATATATATAACTTAGGCTTAAAAGAAAAAGTGTTACTTCCGCTGCGGCTGCACCAAAGCGGTGATAAACACAGAGACCTTGAGGAAGGGCAATGATTATATCTGAAATAAATGCGAATAAATGAGCAACGCTTTAGCAAAAATAACTGTTTGTTTATAGAGCGGACATTTAAAGAGACCAGCACAGTTGCGCCAACATATTAACGCATAATGCGAGTATCAAAGGTCAAGTGAAGCAGTGGAAATACACTGGAACTATAAGAGTATAAAATATTATCACAATTCATTTTATGTTTTCTTCCGAAAACTCACATTTTATTGCATACACATGAATTTATCAACAATATCGTAAAATTTCTTTATCGTAAATATATATATATGTATATATTTCTTTTTTTTTCCTATAAAATCGTAAATCACTAAAACAGCAGACTATTACATTCACTTCTTCAACAAAAGCGGTGCGGTGTAGGCAGGAGCGTAAGGCGACGCGTAATACGGCGAAGCTACGTAGGGCGAGGCGAAGTACGGTGCTGGTGCCACATAGGGTGAAGCCAGGTAGGGCGCCGCAAAGTGGCCGTGATAGTCGCGGGTGTAGATGGCAGCTGAGGGCGCGGCGGCGACCACGGGCGCAGTGTAGGCGAGCACGCTAGGTTTGGGCTCAGCACGGACGACGGCAGCCAGGACCAAAAGGACGAAGGCGATATACTTGAACATTTTGTTAATTTTTAATTTGAATAGAGAACGCGTTACTGCTGAATATGTGTGATTGGCGAGTAGTTAAACTGCTTTGCTGCGGTAAGTTGGGTTCGCAGAGGTTTATATATTAAGACAGTTATATCACAAACATAATCCATAGTCAAGAACCTTGAGTGCCAATTCGGCTAGTTGGTACTTGGTTTTTACCAAGCGTAGTAAGAGTTAAAAGCAGAAGCAGAAACGTGGTAGCCATGACTCCTATTACCCGCAGCACATTCCTTTTTTGGGTCTCAAAATATACACACATTTACATATGCAGCACAGCTAAGTAGTCGCGCATTGTCATGTTAGTGACAGCTCTTTAAGGAATTGTCAAAATTATGCAATTTCACCAGAGCGTCATTATGCTTAAAAATATATTCAATATGTATGTAGGTGTGTGCATATATGTTTACTCTTTCATTTTAAAAGCTTGTTATCCACATTTTGTTTTGCTTCGCTTGCGCGCTTTTCGTAGCCGGCAGCAATGCAACGTGACTGCCATTGCTGATTAAGTTTGTAAGTAATATCGCTGAAGCGGCTGTCCGCCGACGCAGCGCAGAAAACGCCAGTAATCAAAGCTCTAATAAAGCTGCAAATGTGTAGCGACCTAAAATTCCTTTATGACGTTATATTTTCAAAATCCATACAATATGTAGAAAGATGGAAAGTATTTTCAACTCGGATCGGAAGAATCTGTCTACTGTGCTAGTAGGTGAACAGCACTCGCCAAGTGACTCTTTTTTACCCATTTCTCCCTCATACTTCCGAGTGCAAAGAATACAAGAAGATACCAACAGAATTAGGCTTGGTGACGCGGTAATCTAAATAATTAGTAACAAAACAAAGTGTACGAGAATTTCAAAGTACAGTAATAACCCGGGCTTACGCCCTAGTAGTGTCCGAGCAACTGCCCTATAAGTCGAATTGATGTAAGTCGGGGTTCAACTTTACATATTATATCAGTACATATAGAGTATGTTTAATCGGAATCAGAGAATTTAGTTACCTAGAAATAAAAAAAAAAGTTTGATAAAGTGTAAGATAATAAAATAAATTCACATTGTTACGTATAAAGTTACCCAAACCGAAGTTATTTCGACGTCGATGGCTGCACATATTCTACCAAAGTTGTCTGACTAGTTAAGTTTTCATCCCTTCACGCAAAAGCTCCTCGTAGTACACCAGTAATCTTTTTATTTTCCGTTTTTAGTAGAAACACGTTCTTCATTAGAATCTAATTATTCTGAAACTTGTAACCCCTTTTCAATTGAATTCAGTCCTTCTGTTAAGTTCCACCTGTTGGCAAGATTTATTCTGCGTTGGACTTCGAGGCGGATTTTTTTTTTTTTTTTTTTTTTTTTTTTTTTTTTTTTTTTTTTTTTTTTTTTTTTTTTTTTTTTTTTTTTTTTTTTTTTTTTTTTTTGACGTTGTTTCCAGTTTCGAAGTTATAATTGTCAAGTGCGACGGCAGCTTGTTTGATAACAGGAAATAGTTCATCTTGCCCTCTTTCAATACCGGACTCATTTGCTTTTCTTTCTTTTCCAATCTGGAGAAAGCAGAACTAACTGCCGAAGTCAGTTTCGTATGCCAGCAGTTGTACACTCTTGTAGAAGATTGTCATTTTATTCATATCTACAGCTGGAATTATTTTCAACAGGAGTAGATTCAAGAAGAAGATTAAATGGATTCGCCTGAATAAAACCCGATGGTGACAGAGCTTTTGGTATTGCTCAACATCAGTTTACACAGCCATATTAGTTTTGCGGGGATACCAAATTCAGACACAGCGGCATAAATGCAGTTATTTTTCGTGCTTTCAAAAGCATATTTAATCGACGAAGAGGTGGTGTGTGTCGATTCTCTTTTCTAAGGTTTATGGCTTGGTGTATATCTGCTCAGTTGCTGATTGACCTGGAAGCCACACTAACGGTGGGCTTTAATCTTTCACACAATACGATCGAATGAACCTTATATGCGATGTTGAGGAGACTTGTCCCTCGGTAGTTGGCATAGATTGTGGAGTCCCACTTTTTGTGAATTGGGCAGAACGCACTTAAATTCCAATCAACGGGCATACTTTCTGAAGTTGATGCATGCTCCTTATCAGTTCTTTGCCGATTTGTATTTGAATAGGTCGGTCGGAAATCCATCGGGCCCACCGCTTGATTGCTCTTCAGGCGTACAATTGCTATTTGAACTTCTTCATGGTCGGGCAATTGAACGTATGCACCATTGTCATCGATTGGGGAATCGGGTTCGCCTTCTCTTGGCATTATACTTTCAAAGACTTCAGTAGGCTGGGGAAAAATTCCCTCCATAATTTTAGTATGCTCTTCTTACTTACACATTTCGGCTTTTCTCTTTTTCTGTCTGCAAATGCGTCTCGTTTCCCTCTTCAGCCCTTGGTATCTATCGCATCCCGCACGTGTTGTAGTCGCGTGTATCGTTGCGAGTTAGGCAGCCTCCACTGCCTCCACTCCAATCTAGCAATTATTGTACGATAGCATGATCTACCTCTAAATTTAATTTGTTGGCGATATTGATCACTTCTGCTATAATTTATCCAGGATTTAATACTGGTACTTCTTAGGTTTCAGTGGTGAAAATGTGTTCACATCATTTTTTTTTTTTTTTTTTTTTTTGTTTCAAGACACCATTCCAAGAGTTTCGTGAAACATCATAGTTTTGTCTCATAGTTTCATGTAGATCTGCAGATGATCGCCTTTTTTAGTAAGATTTCCAATTTTTTAATGACTCCGTAGTCCAACCATTGGTTGAAGCATGCAATTAGTATTTGGTGGCAAAAATACAATTTTCACTCGTGAATCGAAGAAAATTATAGTTTCGGGAGGAGGACCTGGAGCAATGTCAATCAGGTACATTATTTAAATGGGATTAATTTTAATTGACAGTATACAAAAAGAGAAGCAGTCACCCAACCTTTAGCATTAGATTTCCAGATCACAGGCAAATTAGCTTTGGATTGCATCAGCTTTAAATACTTAATTTTTAGACGCCTTCTCAGCTTCTTCTTTTCAGTTTTTCAAAAAATCATTTCCCACCACACTAGTACCGCTAGTTGAACATTCTCAAGTTTCCACTATAAGAGTATTCCATTCTATATTAATGGCTTACCTATAGTTTCATAAAATCAAAGGACTAATTTTGATGAGAAATCTCACCTTTTATGTCTTCTGCAGTCAGCCAATGGTTTCCTTGCTCTCTCCTCCGTATTATTCTTCCCCTACAGCCTACTCTCTACGATAAACTGTAAATAATTCAGCTAAGATCCGATAACCTTAACGGTAACAAACTGAAGATTTCCTACTGCACTTAATAATTGACGGCACTGTAGCGGTTGCCTGACCAAAGGCGCCTAAATGCGCACCACAGTTTTACAACGTCGACTTCTTCTTGTAAATAGATGTGTTCGTTATTTGCATGAGCCAGTAGGAAAGTTTAGACTAAATGCGTGTTAAAATAATGTAACGAATTAAATAAATTTTAACTGTTCGTTTTACTCAAATTATATCTTTATTGACATACAAATGGTTGTTCAAGAAAAATTAAAACTACCGCTTGTTCCTAAATGAAATGTGAAACCAAAATTTACGGAAAAATTACCCACTGGCTTAAGTGCTAAATGATATCCTGTTTGAGTTGGTTTGCCATACAATAACGTCTTTTTAATCACCTTATATAACGAATAACCTTTACGCTGTAGTAAGACATAGTAGTATTTTATATGCTGATTAAATTCGTCGAATACATTTACGGGTATATATTTCGTATCCACTTCCGGCGCAGTCAGTAAAATAACTACTGAATCGTCAGCCGACCAATTGGCAGAAGTTTGTTCCAAAGCGGCCGTTACGTTCTCGTAATCTCCACCAAGACTATTTAGCTGGCGCCCACTGCTTAAACCAGCTGAGTGTTCTGTCAACTTTGTGAGAGATATTTGTGAAGGTGTTTGTAGAAATAACATTGGTACACAAACGAATGGCCGACTGCTAGCAATGATAATGTGAATTGATGTTATGATCAGCACTGCACCTACAAAATTAAAGAATAAACACTTAAATTGATGCGTTGGTGCCGTGATGTGCCAACCTTTGTTTACGTTCATATTTTGACTGCGTTAAGTAGAGTGCGTGCGTAGAATTAGTGTTTACTACCAATTATCTAGATTCCGCATCTTTTATACCAAACTCCACTTTGTACAGTTCAAAACTCCATATGTAATTGCCCGTCGGCTAAAGTTCATAATTAATTTTCTTAATTAATATCATGCCAGTCAAAAGCCCTCATGTTGATGGGTATTTAGTTCAGAAGGATGAGCACTTATTCCAACATATGATGTGTATTTCCATATGATGGGCTTTTGTCATTTAGAAATATGTCTCTATGTATATATTTAGCTTTGTTTTTTGTACGCTTCTACGTACCTATTTTTTATTACATACAAATACGCCATACATATGCATTAAGGATACGAATTGGAGTTGGAACTCTATAGCGTAGTGCCACTACCATCCATTCATACCTATACACTTAAATTTATGCATTAGGGTAGGTAAAAAGATTTTTTTTTTCGCTAGGTACTTTGAAACATAGGTGGTTAGACTTCTCCTTAGATAGTTACCTAAGTAAAAGCTCTTTCTTGTTACAGTTTTATATTTTTTTCTCATTATCAGATGGAAAACTATATCTCGCTTCCAACTACTTGAAAAAATATTAGAATTAAAAAAATATAAAATTAAAAAATATAGAATTAGAGCAATAATTAATTAATAATTAGAGCAATAATTAATTAATAATTATGGCTCTAATAAAATATTGTCCAAATGGCCACCACTGCTCCGTTTGCATATATATCCACCCGGAATTTCGGCTATAGTGCTTTGAATGTTGTCTTTAAGCTATTCGGGCGTAAGTGGTTCATTCACGTAAACTTTTGATTTAACATACCCCAAAGAAAATAGACTAGAGGGGTTAAAAAGCATGATCTTGGTGGCCAATTGACTGTGCAGTTTCTGGAAATCAATGAGC